CCCGCCGTAGAGCAGCCAGTCCATGGTTTGTGTCAGTGATTGTGCCCCCCAGAGGGGTTTTGTGACTTGCTAAGGGGGGTTAGAGCTTCTACCTCCTGGCCTGAGCACGTCACCAGCTGGCATTTCTGAGGATGCCAGAAACCTGAGATTCTGGGACAAGCAAATGTCAGGCTCCCATGACCCCAACAGCATAAGGCTTTGCTGCTCCCTCCTCCTTCCCTGCCCCCCAGGCCACAGAGCTGACCTTTAGCTCTAATTGCAGAACTTAGGCTGCTTGTATAGAAACTTCAATTTCTTCAGTTCCCCCAAAGGGCTGGGAGAGTCACCTCTCACCTCCAGCCTGAGAGTTCTCCTGGGCCAAGCGTGTTGCTGTCTGAATTTCTGGTTTGTGTGTGCTGCTGTGGCTTGCCTCCTGGACTTGGATATGGGAGCAAAGACAATGCTCAATAGGACTTTTGCTGTGGGTACAGTTCTCCCCGGGAGGATGAAGCCCCACCACCCATTGCAGACACTCGGCTCAGGGTGACCCTATGGGCGCTGGTTTGATGGTTCTTACGGGTGGATATTTGTCTGTCTGGAGAAGTTCTACACATGCGAGCTCATTTCCCCCTCCTGGTTTCTCCCTCCCTTTATTAGTTTTGCTTTTCACGAGTAGGCTAGGACCAGGAGCTCATTGTACAGTCAGAACCCACTTGCAAGGCCGCAGGCTCCATGAGGGGAATGCCTTGCCACCCTCAGGTGCTCAACATCCAACACAGCTCCTGGCATTTCGTGGGCACGTAATAACTGTATGTGGATGGAGGGAATGTTGACATTTCCCATATTTAGATAATTAATCGCTTTTCTGAGGCCCTTGTACCTAACAGTAGATACATATGGTAGTCCTCACAGTAGATACATAAGGTAGCTGCTAAGTAAGCATTGTGTTATGGGGTTTACATACTTTATTTTTAATACTTTAGAACAACAACCCTGCAAAAGTAGATGATACTTACTCCCACTTGGGGATAGGAAACAGACTCAGAGATTGTGCTCAGAGTTCAGTCCCTGGGGCTACAATTTGGAGACATCAGTTGCCACCAAAACCTAAACAGATGGAAAAGTCTGACTGTTCCCCAGGATGTTTGTCAACAGAAAGAAAAGTTGAAGGAACTGTCTCTTCAAACAACTAGGTTAGTTAACCTTTGTAAAGTGCTCAGAACAGCTCCTGGTCCATTGTAAGCACCTTACAAGTAAGCGTTTGTGAAATCAGTAGAAGTAAAGCCCAGGTCAGTGCCGGAGGCTGGATTTGAGTCAGCATCATGGCTCTCTCTCACAATATTTTAATCATCCAGAATAAATACAACAAAGAAAAGTAAAGTGGGGATGCGAGATATTCTGCTCACAGTTGAAACCACCAAGTCTGTGATGTCCAGGCCATGTCAGCATCACAGCAGTGGAGAATCTTGGGGACGGGAGGGTCTCAGATTCATATCCCAGGGTTTGAACCTGGGTCCAGGTGTGCTCAGATGACCTCTCAGTGAGGTTCAGGGTTTTCGGAGCCATAACTCCTTGGAACGTTATACACAGTGTTGTGGTTTTGTGCATTTTTGGGGAGGATACATGACTGTAGTTTTCATCCCTTGTGGGAAAGCTTTGCAACCCAGAAGGGTTCTGAGCCTCTCGCCCAGCAGTACCACCCATGGTCAGCTCCAGGCAGTGGGGAGCTGGTGCTCTAGACTTCATTCCACACCTGTGGCCAGACAGCTCTGACTCAGTATGGCCCCTCCCTCCGTTCCTTTCTTTGGGGTCTTGACAGGTGAACATATCAGTGCAGGGCTGACAGAGCCATCTGGCCTGGCTGCCTACAGGGCAGTAAGCTTTGCTGTGGCCCCCTGGGGACTTGTGATTGTACTGCCTGTGAGCACTTTTGAGATCGACTTGAGGTTCTCCACAGTCCCCCTAGCTACTGCTCTCTCTCCACATCGCTCATCCTCCTGCCTCACTGGCCTGGCAGCCATAGCAGCCATGTCCGGCAGCACTGCGCAGTGTGGGGAGTCCAGGCCCCACGGGGGCAAACGCAACCCTGCCATCCAGGCACCACGTCTGCTCCACCTCAGAAAGGGCTAGTTGGGCACCATGCTTAGGGATGCTGCCTGACAGAGCCATGGCCTGGAGCTGCCCTGGGTTTTTGGAGCCACTCCTGTGGCCTTACCTCACATGAAGGATCTGTGGGAAATTTGCCAAAGTTCATTTTAATATTCTACTCTTTCAAGCTTTTATCAAGACTCCTAATAATATAAAGCCGAAGCAGTCAAGGCCCCTTACCTCCCCTCCCGACCAGGATTTCTCTGCGGCCTCAGGAGTAACTGGTGGAACCTCACAGTGGAACATTCCCTACCTGCCAGGAGATGCCATCTGCTCCTTGTTATTTCGGCCTTGGCGGCCCAAGTGGCCTCCTGGAGCTGTCCCTCCTGTTGCACCAAGATATTAAGTTAGGACACGCCTGCCCTCTGGTGGCCATTCTGTGGCTAGCACCACCTGAGAACCAGGCTCCAGGGCTTGGATGGGCTGGATGCTGAAGAGATGGAAGGAAAATACCTTCAAAAATTGAAGAGTCAGCCTGGCCAGGTGACTCAGTTGGCTGGAGCATTGTCCTGTACACCAAAAGGTGTGGATTTGATCCCTGGTTGGGGTGTATGGGAGGCAACAGATAGATGTTTCTCTCTCACATCTATGTTTCTTTTTTTCCCTTCCCCTCTCTCTAAAAATCAATTAGAAAAACAACATTAATCATGCATGAGGATTTATTTTAAAAATTGAAGAGCCAATGCTGATTTCCCTGTTGCCCCACTAAGCTCTTTGTGTTATTATTTAACCACTCAGGGATATTTTGAAACTAGACACATTCTGTTTTTCTGCTAAAACAGTATCCTAGCCCTGATTGGTGTGGCTCAGTAGTTAGAGCATTGGTCCAAGCACCAAAGGTCTCAGGTTTGATCCCTGGTCAAGGGCACATAACTGGGTTGCAAGTTCGATCTCCAGCCCCAGTCTGGGCACATGCAGGAGGCAACCAATTGATGTGTCTCACATCAGTGTTTTCCACTGTCTCTAAAAAATCAGTGGAAAAAATATCCTGGGGTGAGAATTAACAAAAAAACAACAGAAAACACTATAACACTGTCGTCTCCTAGGAATATCTGAGTCTTCCGAATCTCAGAGGACATTTTATTATCAGTTTGGAATTTTCAAACACCAGGTCAGCCAAAAATTTGGCTCCTTTCACTCAGCTCTGTGCTAGAGCCTTGGGGTCCATGATCCTGCAGCCTAGGGTAGTGCCTCAGAAAACCCTCAGCACCCCAAACTCATACATTGGCTGCTCAACGTGATACCAGCCTGGAAAATGACCTTCACAGCTGCCCTTTTAATAACTGTAAAGATGCTTGGCTCAAACTTCAGGTGGCAGTGAATTGGCATTAGTTTAAGGAGCCACTGACCATTGGACTGGGTTTTAGAGCCTGTGGGGGTGGAGCTGGGTCTCCTTTGAGACCTGCAGTGCTTGTGGCCCTCTGGAGGAGTTAACTGAAAGCAGGAGGGAAGTGTTGAGCTGGGGCAGCTGGGTGAGAGAGGTGTGAAAGATTAAAATAGGGCCTAGGTAGGAGGGCAGGAATTTCACCTCGTGGGAAAAGAGGGAGGGGGAATATGTGAGACACACAGATGGATCAGGAGAGCAGGTCAGCTGAGTAGTGATAGCCAAAATTTTAAAGTTCAAGGGTCTTTCATGTACAAAAGCAGTACAGCTGGTAGTACCTGTGGGCAGGCACCTAGGCTTCTCTGGGCCCCTGTCCAGGGGGGCATGGCTGTCCCTCTGAGCTGGAGCTGGAGGCTTCATGCCTAGTCCTTCTTGCCCCTCATGGACAGACACACCTGGCCCCACTGACTGGTGGCCTCTCATGGCCTTCTGTCATGGACACTGCCTCTCACCCCAGGGTGTCCAGGGTTGGTGGAATCCTTCCTGCAACCAGGGTCCTAAGGCTTGGGATTGAACCCTACTCTTTGCATTCCCCCAGAGCTGAGGACAGCACCTTTTATTCCCAGAGATTTTAGAAAACATCCAGAAAGATGTGGGCTAAGCCCATTTCCTGCCAGATTTCTTGAAGAGCCATGAGCTTTGTCCCACAACTGGGGCCTCCTTTAGGCTTTGCTGGATGGTCTGTGAGGAAGACACCTCCTCCAGGAGCCCCTCATAGCAGAGCCCCCTTCCTAATGACACCCTTGGGATCTCGGGGGGGGTGGGCACTGGGCTTCATCAGACTACTCCCTTTGGACAAGAAGTACAGGTGGTGGCCCAGTGTTTGGGCCATCAAATATTTTATCAACCTCATCAGTTCACGTCGGCTACAAGACGCATTAGAGATCAGATACATTCTCTCATTTAATTTTCAAATAACGCTGGGGTTTTATGAAAGGGGAGGTTGAAGAGCAGAGTGCTTAGGCCTGGGAGCTGAAGGCAGAGACGTGAGGCCTCCCTGACTCCTAACCCCTCCTTAGCTAGTGAGTCTGACCTCAGCATCCAGGCTGCTTCACAGGCACCCCGTTTCCCCCAGCATCTTGTGTTTCTAATGGGAGCGGATCAAATGCCTGAAGAGACCCCTCTTTGTAATTCTACTCCGTGGCCTTTTTAATAAGATTATGTTTCTTCGGGAAGCATAGGGTGGGAAGGGTAACGGGGTGGGGGGGGTTGGTTTGAGAGCAGGGCCTTTGGGATCTCCCCCCTTCAGCACCTCCTCTCCGCTCTCATCCCAACAGGTCCACCTGGCTGAAGCCGTGCTGTGGGAAGAGAGCAGCCGTATGGCAGGTATTTTTGCTCAGTGCCAGTCTCAACAGTTTCCTGGTAGCCTGTGTAATATTGGTGGTGATTCTCCTGACTCTGGAACTTCTAATAGATATAAAGCTTCTCCAGTGTGAGTAGCAAGAGGGATACATATGCAAATACGTATGATGTCAATAATTAATGTGCATCCATCAGGGGTCCCCAACCAGCAATGTGATCTGCCCTGGCCTGATCCCCGGCCCCATGGCCCATGGGATCTCCACCAGGGAGGATACCTGGCAGCTTCTCTCTGTCACCCCAGCAGCAGTTTGCCTTCCTGACCCAATGTGGGCGCTCCTGTGCCCTCCCGGCATCCCACCACCCGGAACTGATTAGATCAGAAATGTTGGGGACCCCTGTATGCACTTTTTTTATTGTTCGCATTTGGAATTTTCCAGGTTGGAATTTTCTGTAGCTTAAAGAGAGCCCCACGTGTGGAGGCATATCCCCTTGTAACTAACAACAGCAGCCACAGTGACAATGCGATTCTCTGTATTTTTGTCCAGCGTAAGTGGGGCAGTTTGGAAAGTAATGGACCCTGGCAGCAGCCCTGTGAGATGGACAAGGCTGTCATCCTATTTTATAGACAGGGGATTTAAGATCTGGAGAAGTTAGAACTTCCTCAGGTGAGAAGTCCTGGAGCTGGGACTTCAAGCCACCAGGCCAATTATTGGCAGGGCCAGCTGTCCTCCCACCATAGTCCTTGCTGTGTTTGTTCTGGTTCAGGGTTCATGGAGGCCAATGGGTTGTCTGCTGCCTCTTGTGTCCTTCTAGACATAGTGGCTGCAGGGCTGTCAGGGTAGAGGGCCCACTTGCTCCCCCTAGCCCTGCAGCCCCTGTTTGGTGGCCTGGTGGAGGGGCGTTGAGACTCTTGGGTTTGCATGAGTGAGTGGTTCTGTACAGCTCCTGGTTACCATATTTCCCCAATTCAGAAGGTGGATCACTCAAGTGCAAATAAAAGAGATGAGATTATTGCCTCCCCCCCACCAGAGGTTCCTTTCCTGCTGTTGGCTACAACCAGGACTGTAGATCTCGCCACCCCAAAGCCATCTGTGGTCTTGAACTTGTTTGACTAGAGCCTCTGATTCAGGGTTCCTTCCCAGTCCCACCAGCTGCCCTGACTCTAAGAGAGGGTGACAGGAGTATAGGGTAGCTTTTGTCCTAACAGCCTTGCTGGGTCCCAGTCAAAGAATCTTTGGTCTTAGGTGACCAGCACTGGTATTGCACTCAGCCTGCCTTCAATTAGACCATGCTGTGTACTTTCCCTCCCACACACCCATCCGTCTGCTTTTTATGAGGTCTGCCCAGAACGGAGTCTTTCTTTCCCTGTGGTGGGCTGCACCGGGCGCTCAGTGCTTTGGGAGTGACAGGCACCGAGTAGGACTGAGAGCCTGGCCTACACTGGAATGTTGCTTAAAATTAAATATCCAGGAGATTGATTTTTGTGGGAGATCCAATAGCAGCTCATAAAAGGCATCTTAAATTCCATAAAACTCACAATCAGAGATTTATTGCTCTTCTAAAGCAACCGTAAAAAAAGGCACAGGAATTCATTTGAGAAATAATGGGGAGAGAGTTTATGTTTTCAGAATCATCTGGAGGTCCTTTCAGTCACAGGCCTCAGCCTCTTGGTTCCCACTACTCTTTACGTGGCCCAGACCGGAAGAATCATGGCATCTCCTGGCTCGTTTTTTAAGGGTCGTTTTTTAAGGGTCCAAGGCCAGGGAACCCGAAGTCCCCCACTCAGAGCCTGGTACTGCAGCCTTATTCCCACCCCAGTTCCACGCTCCAAACCTGGATTCTGCCACCTCCAGGATCCCCCAGTCTCAGAGCTCTGGAGGAGGTTGTCGGATCCAGCCTGGCCCTGTGATGGCTCTGGACATTGTCCTTCAGCCCCCAGGGGACTCTGAGCTGTGTGCTGGCCACGCCCAGCTGTCGCCCAGAAGGGAAGCAGCATGTGTTCCCAGCAGCATTCCTGTGCACTTTTTGGCCCCACTGCCCCAGAATGTCCCGCCAATATCTTTTTTATGCCTGTCCTCCGGGGAGCATCTCCTGCCACCCACAGTCTCCATCAGAGCCCATCTGGCCCTTGCCCTGGGCCCTTGCATCCTGCTTTGGGCCTTCCACCTGATAAATTGTTCCCTGCACGGGTCGGAGGCTGACCTGGCTCTTGTATTTAAATTGCCTTCTGGAGCTAGTGCCCGGTGGGAGTGGGTGGGAGCTGTCGGTGACTGACTGCTTCTGCTGCTGATACCCTGACTTGTAGAATGCCAGGGGGGCAACTGAGAAGCGTAGCATACCCAGCCACTTGCTCTGTGTCTTTTGGGAGGCTGGCATCCCCTGACCCCTGGTTCCCTCTTCCAGTCCTCATTCCAGCCTCTTCTCTGAAACATCCTGGCTGACACTACCATCTCCACCACTCAGTACAGAATGAAAAGTTAAAATGAGCTTGCCTCAGTCCCCCACTCACATGCCTGGCACTCTGGGACTGAATTGTGGTGGAGATTTCTGACAGCTCATCTAAACCTGACAAGCTGCCCACAGGTCCGAAAGCCCAATGTTTCCCTAAGCCCCTCAGGAGATCTCCTTTCCAGGAGGACAGAGTCCATCGAGACTGCAGGGCAGGCTAGAACTCCAAGAGGTGGCCTTTAGGGGAGACAGAGGAAAGGATGGCCTCACAGCCCACCCACCTCCCCCACCTCTGTCTCAGCTACCACTTGCTGGTCTTTGGCCTGATTTCATCCAGATCTAAGCATTCGCGCAAGCAGCTGGGTCCCAGAGGTTGTTCCCAGGCTGGGAAGCCCTTCACCTGAGTCCTTCCTGCTAAAACTGGCCCCTGTTAATTGTGTTTGTTGCAGTTTCTAGCGCATTCCACTTTGCTGGTGTCATTCACTGGATCAGTCTGGTCATTCTCTCCGTGTTCTTCTCAGAGGTGGGTAAAGGCTGGGCCCTGTGACCACTTCTTTAGGACAGCTCCTGTCCTGGGGAGATTGGGCTTTATCCTGTAAACATTTACAAGTGTAAGGCCCTCTGCGTGCCCTTGAGGCTGCAATGAGGGAGACGCAGTTCAGGGAATGACTTCTGTGTTTGAGAGATTCACAGGGAGCAGGTAGCCCCTGAGCTGAATCCCAGCAGATGAGCAGGTGTGGTCCAGGTGTGGGTGGGCCATGTCACAATGAAGGTAGGACTGAGCAGGACATCGTTGAGGGAGAGCAAGTAGTTTGTGTGGCCTGTGAGGAGCAGGCAAAGAGCCCAGTGGCACTGACATGTGTGAGAGCTATGATCCCAGCACATCCCTCTGCCTTCACATGGCGTAAGTGACACTTCTGGGAGATTCCCAGCCTGTCATCATGACACCCTGGCCTGCATTTCAGGGGGCTGCTGCTGGCAGGGTCTCCCAGGAAAGCCGAGAAGACTGGACTTCATGCTGTGGGCAGTGGTGGGTCACTGAAGGCCTGGGGTGTTTTATGTGGAAATCTAGTTCTTCCTAACAGAATGGATGAGTGGCCCAAGTCAGCTTGCCACTGTCAACTCTGCACCCATTGCCCCACCTGCATTGCCACAGTCGACTCTAGCCCACATGGCCCTTCCCTCCCACAAACATGTGGGCCATGGCCAGATGTTCCCTTGATGCAAACCTTGGAAAATATGCCGTGTGTCTGTGACTGCCAACAAAAATGTTTAATCAGTTGCTGAGGTTCTTCCCGAGGTCCCTCTGCTTTGGTTTTATTGGCTTTGCAGAATTTATTACCCGGCGTTAATTCAGCATTCTCCTCCTTTCTCTGCTGGAGACAAGCCACTTGAAATAGACAAGCCCTGTGCAGAGTCACGTCAGCTTCAAACTCCACCCGCTTCCACATACAACCAGTGGGGCAAGGGCTGGGGTTTCCAGGGGCTAAGCAGGGAGAGCTGAGGGGCTGGGAGGATGGTGGTGCCCCTGACCTTGGAACTGGTAGAAGATAGGGTGGGGTGCAGCAGTAACAAGAATAACGGGGGGGTAACAGAGTATCGGAGGAGCCCTGCCCCCTGTACACCATGTCCTGTATGAGCAGAGGGACTGGTGTACAGAGATCCACGTCTCATGAATGCCTAGGACCTGGAACTATAGCAGTCTCATGGAGGTCCGTTCACCCTGCTCCCCAGAGGGTCTGAGAATGCACGATGGTATTAGTGCTGCTCACAGTGACCGGGGCTCCGCTAGTGAGAAGGGCCAGGGATCGGTGTTGTGGGAGGGTGGTGATGTTCCTGGGCCTTGTAGGGACACTGAGGAAAGAGGCACTGAGCCTGAGGACTGTGGAAAAGCTTCATGAAGGTGAGATTGGAGCCGAGGCCAGAGAGACAGAAAGGCCTTTACCAGGTAGAGAAAGGGAAGAGGCCTGGCTGGTCAGCACACAGGCTGAGCTGCTGTGACCAGAAGCCAACACAAAAGCAGGTGGGGCTCCTCTGCCTCTCCTGAAAAGACCGGTTGGGTGCTCAGATGATGCTAACAAGGTGGCTTGGGGCTGGTGGGGACCCAGCACGCTCCCATCTTGCTGCCCAGCCCCCTAATGGGAGACACGTTAGCACCAAAGCTACGTACTCACAGCCTAGTGTTTGGGGAGAGGAAAAGAGGAGGAAGAGTCTGACCCCTGAGGGGCACAGCCCAGAACTTGTACACAGAACATGGTTGCATGGCCACTGCTGGGCATGGGGAAGGCTGGGAAGTGTGGTCTCCAGCCGAAACCTTAGTTACTGCATAAGGAGAGATGGGGGAGGGAGTCACAGGCAGGCTGACCCCACAAGAGGTCGGGGCAAAAGGAGAAAGAATTTGCAAGTTTGCCGATTTGCAGGTGGCATGACAGGTGCAGGAGCTGACCCTGGAGAGGGAGGCTGGGTGTGAGCATCATTCCTGGGGCTTTGGAGTTTATTCTGTGGGCCTGGGAGCATTGAGGACATGGAGCAAAGGGCTGGCACACTCATGGGCACTCAGAGTCTGAGAGGGCACCAAGGGTGGTGGAGCCAGTTTCCCATGTTGGGCTAGAACTTGAGCTCTGAAACCTCCTCCTTGGGGACAGGGCAGTAACCCCAACTTCCTGTGTCACTTCCTCTCCTCAGACTGTTCTCCGGATTGTGGTGCTCGGAATCTGGGATTACATCGAGAACAAAATAGAGGTAAAAACCAACATCCACCCCCCAAGCCAGCCCCCTGGGTGCTGGGAGATGTCACCATCCCCACCATCCTAGTCTGGGAGCCAGTGAGAAAATTTGACTCCTTCCCACAGTGGATGTAGGGTTCCCCGGCACGGGGCAGGTGGGGAGGGAACACTGAGAAAGTTCCCCGTAAAGGGGCATCTAAACAGCCCTCATAATGTTCTGCAAAATTTAACTTATTCTTGAATTGTTTTGGAAAGCTTTTGAAATGTGTTTTAAACCAAGAAGTGCCATCTACAATGGCTCTGTGGTGGGAGAGCTGAGCTGAAATGGGTTTCTGAGCCTGGTCTGCCTCTGAGCAGTGAATGGGGGGAAGCAGGGAGGCCTGGCTGTCGCACAGCACTGGCCAAGGCGGGCCGTGTCTGCTGCCCACTCCTGCCTTGCTTCCCACCCATTTTTAGCCTCTTTAGCTGCACAGACAGAGGCCTGACCATGGAGGTCTCAGGAAGGCCAGGTTGAAACAGCAGGTGGCAGGTCAGGGCCCAGGTCTGAGTCACACAGGCTAGGCCCCTTCTGTTCTGGTCCTGCCTCCCTGTGGATAGAGATGAGAGGCAGGCTCTGGGCTCCTGCTACGCAGGTCGAAGTGAGGGGCCATTGAGGCTATAGGCCCATCCCGAGAAGGGACAAAGATTCTTGAGACAGTCTCTGGGAAAAGATGCTTGCTTGGGGCAGCCGCAGGTTGTGGGAGTGGAGGCTGGAGATGGGTGGAGGTCACTCGGAGGAAGCATGCTTAGTAGCACCTCTGGTGGGGGAGGTCCCGAAACACTGAGCGGAGTCAGGGGAAACAGCCAGGAGTGGGGGGCCTTTTATAGATGGAGAGAAGGAGGAGTTGACCAGATACAGGTGCTTTGCCTGGTGTGCACTCTGGTTGGAACGGCCAGGGCACTGAAATCCGCTCCTCCCCCAGGTGTTTGATGGGGCTGTGATCATCCTGTCCTTGGCCCCAATGGTGGCGTCTACTGTGGCCAACGGGCCCCGGAGCCCCTGGGACGCCATCAGCCTCATCATCTTGCTCCGAATCTGGCGGGTGAAGAGGGTCCTTGATGGTGAGTGGCCTGGAAGGGCTCAGTGGGGCTGGCAGGGTGACAGATGGCATCTCCAGAAACTAGAGCTCTCAGTTGAGAGGAGAGAGACCGTGTGATGAGGGTGGGGGGTTGCCCAGCCAGCATCAGGGGTGGTAGGTGGAGACTCAGGTGGGAGAGGACAAGCCTGTCACTGCTCATGCGGTGTTGAGTTCAGGAACCGCTCACAGGCTGCCCCAACAGCACATGCAGACACTTGAGTTCAGAGGTCACGCAGTCATCAACATGACTGTTTCTTTCACCTGTCAGCTGATAGTCAGGCCTGCCATCCAAAAGACTAGCTCCTCACAACCCAAGTGCCACCTGAGGGCTCCCACTGCTTTGTTCAGGTCACTGGTTGAAGTTTTGCTCCTGCAGGGTCCGTTTCACCTCTCTGTCCACCAAGGACAAGCTGGGTTCCCCCAAGCCTTTTGACTTGCAAATAGCCATTTTATATGGGAGTTATTGGCCTGGGTGGGGTTTTGGATCCGGCTTCCATCAGCTCTGGAGACACACACTCCTATCTCTGGGTCCTCACTCCCAGACCTATTCTGCCTTCCCATGGCCTGTGCTGCCCTCCGCTGTGAGCCACCTCACCCACACGCTGGGTCCTGACCTGGTGGCTCCCTTTTTTCCAAAAGGTGGTGATAGACCAGACTGTGCCCCCCAGAGGAGGGAGGCATGGGTGGGGAGGGGACTGGGACCCTCATCCCTGAGAGCAAGGTGGGGTCCCGAGCTAGGCACACAGCACCGCATATGGGCTGGTTCACTTCTCATGACATGGAAATCATATAAATGATTCCCAAGCTGTTTATATTTTGGTTTTGTTTCTTTTTTTTCTTGTTTGTTTGGTTTTTGTTTTGTTTGTGTTTTTTAGTAGCAAAGCCCTTCTGCAAAATTATGTGCAAATACTCAGTGTGAAAATAGATTGACAGTGGAGTTGCTTTGGTTGACGGGGAGTGGGGGGCCCCAGGCCACCTCCTGCCTTCCCCCTTCTCCCCTGAAGTATCTCTAAGCACTTTCTAGGTTCCTGGAGCAGCTTCAAAATCACTCAGGTAGACCGTGTATATGTAGACTATACCTGTGTGTATATACTCTGTGCTGAATAGATTTATATGGTATAGAGACTCCAAGGTCACTCCAGCCCTGAATTTTGGTTGCAAATGACAGAAATTGTGGCCATGAGAACATCCCAACAGCATTTTCCCAGTGGGTACAAGAGGGGAAGGACAGCCTCTGGGGTTTCCCATAACCTGGGCTAGGCACCGTCTCCCTGGTCCTCAACCCCACGTCCCGCCTGTGAGCACGGTGGATTTGGTGGTGTCAGGGAGTGCCTGATCCAGATTCTCCATCACACTGGAATATTGTTGGGTCCAGCTTCGGAAGGAAGGCCTGAGCTGGGAGGCCCTGGGAGATCATCTAGTCCATTCTCCCATTTGACAGATGGGGAAACTGAGGCAAAGGGGGCTGAGGATCCCTCAGCAAGGGTCCCACCCCACACCCATTTGCAGTCACTCTGCACTCACCCTGAGGCCAGGCGACCACTAATCTTTCTGCTTTGTCAGTTTGCCTCTGGACTTCTCATATACGTGGAATCACATAATTTGTGGTCTGTTGTGTCTGGCTTCCTTCACTTTGCGTGATGTTGTCCAGGGTGATCATGTTGTAGCTTGTATCAGAGCAGTCCTCCACTGGATGGATGGGCCACACTTTATTTATTATCAGTGGTAGACATTTAGGTGAACATGCATGTACACGCTTTTGTGTAGACATATGTTAGGTGTGCCTATGAATGGAAGTGCTGGGCCATGAGGTCACCATTCAGCATTTTGAAGAACTGCTAGAGTAGTTTCCAAGGTGGCTGTGCATTTCACATTCCTGCCAGCGGTTCCCCACCAACCCCAGCCGCCTTCAAAGGACGCTTGCGCTTGATTCATTGTCCAGCATGTGGTCCAGTGGCTGCCACACAGACTGAAAAGTAGAGTCCTTAGTCCCAGCTCAAGGGTTCTGTCACTGTGGAGAAGGAGGAAGACATCTCTCAGTCACCACGGGGCAGAGGTCGCCCTGCTACACTCTCTGGTTGCTGTTAGGCCCCTGCCCCCATGTCCTCTGGGAACTGTGCCTCGGCTGGAGCCTGCGGCTGGTGGAACGCTGGCCCCATCCCCTCCCTGCCCGAGCCCAGCACTGCCTAGCCTCAAGGCCTTCTCTGTCTTGCAGCTTATGTCCTGCCTGTGAAGGTGGAGATGGAGATGGTCATCCAGCAGTATGAGAAGGCCAAGGTCATCCAGGACGAGCAGCTGGAGAGGCTGACGCAGATCTGCCAGGAGCAAGGGGTTAGTAACTGCCGCCATGTCGGGTTCTGTCCAGGGCTCAGGGTGCTAGTGGTGCCCAAAGCCACAGGGGCCCCCGAAATCAGAGGCCCAGAGCAGGGGAGATGCATTTTGTCACTCGCGCCCAGCCTGAGGTTCTTTTCATTGACCCGTGGCAACCGGTCAGCTCTCCAACCTGAACCAGCTGAGTCACCAGCTCAGTTCTTGAGTCATCTTGGCACAGCAGCTTCTGACAGGGGTTGAATTCTGTCTGTTGAGTCTGCTGGGCCGCCCACCACCCAGGACCCGCAGACACTCCAAGAAGGGTCAGCAGTACTCTCTGCCCTCCAGGGTTCATGGTGAAGACTCAGAGACAGGGCAACAGGCCCTGTGAGGCCTTGCCGGGCAGTCAAGGGGGCCAGGGAGAGGGCCTGTCCCCTGCTCCATCCCCTAGAACTTTAGCCTAATCATGCCCCCCCCC